GCCTTCATCCTGACACGGCCCGTGTTAGGCCTCGTGTACATGAATATTTTACTTTCTCCGAAAATCTGAGCTTTGCGCACTTTCACACTAATTTGTCTTGATTTATTCCTCTGAGCCTAAAAACATGAAAAACACACAACAAAAGCATAAAATGCGGAAACATGAAGGAAAACACTTGATAAAATAAATAAAAGATAATTAAAAACAACGGTAAATAACTGTGTAAATACCACTGATCAGTGTTCAAGTGCACTTGTCTTGGTGTTCGTTTGAGTTTAGCTTTGAGTTTATGTGGTTTTAAATCAATCTTTTGTGTGGTTCATGATATGACAACGTTGCTGCCCGGATTTTTGTTTTCACTTTATGATGCTTGTTTGGACTTAGTTCCTTTGCAATTCACTATTACTTTTGAGATGTGCTTTGATACTTGAGCCTAGCTTATGTTATCTTATTAATTTCTAGCTTGTTTTGTGATCTGTGCAAGCTTTTGGAGGCCTTTATCATGCAACACGCGACATTTGGATTTTTGCTTGGTTGTGTATACTTTTTTTGTGTAGGGACTTTGATTGGATGCATTTTCTATCCGCTTGTGAATCATTTTCGCATTGCGACATTTGGTTATTATATTGGATATTGTTTCTGACTATTTCACTGTTTCTTGGTGAAGCTTGCTCGAAGTTTTTCAGAGTTATTTTACTTTTGCTTACTTGCTACGAACTCTTGTTCATTTGGTATTATAATATTCTAGTTTATTTTTCTGCATCATTTACCGCTTTCCTTGCCATGAGAAGTAAGAATAGAGATTCATGAATGGGAGTCTCTACTTTAGGTGGACAAATTTGTTTTAAACACCTTTAGAAGGCATTCTTGTTTGTGTTTGTGCAAAGTCCTCAAAATGAGGCCATGTTTGTGTTTGCTTGTATACATAAGACCTCAAAAGAGGAAAATATCACTCCCCTCCCATTTCCCTTTTATTTTGTGCTTTCTATCGAGTCAAATTAGTGGAACAAAGGGTCTGCAATCAACCCCCACACATTCTAGTTCATCTCGTTCCTAGCTTGCATTGTATGTTGATGCTTTAGATCGTGCTTACTCTTGTTATCGAGTCGGTCCAATGGAAGATAGGGGTTCGTAGCCAACCCCCGTGCTTACTCGATGTTGATGCTCTGAGTTGTTACTCGATGTCGATGCTCGATCAAATCAAGTGGAAAGAGTTACTTTTTCCCATTTTGAGATCCATTTGACCATTTGTTTGTCATTAGCTGGCACTAGATTTGGCTACAGTTTCGGTTCGACTTTGGTTGATTGCACTTGTGCTCAATTACGCTTGTGTTGTGTTTCTCTTTAAACCTCTATATGATCCCTTAGGATTGCTTGTCTCATTTTCAATTTAAGTTGGATATTAGGTTGTAACCTTTGCATGTCCTCTTAGGATTTCATGTCATGTTTTCGATTCAAGTTGGACATTATCTTGTAATCTATGCATGCTAACGTAAGTAAAGATTTCCATTTTTGTTATCTGGACCTTAGGGCCATCATTGTATGATAACATTATGGATAAAGCTAGATAGTTTCCCTTAGATGTTTTTCTTTCCCTTTTGAATTCTTAAAACTAAAACCTCTTTTTCTTTGAAAATTCTAAAACACTTAATAAAGGAAGACGCAAATGTTATGCCGTTTATGGGGTAGAGAAAATCAGTTTAGACTGAGCCTCGCTGTATTTTCACTTTCGTACTTTATTATAGTTCAAGTTGTAAATTCTTTCACAATAAAAGTACCAACCAATGCAAACCTTTTTTTGTCTTCAGAACCTTTTCCCTTTAAAACATTTTCAATAAGGATGTGTTGTTTCAAATTCGAACAACTTGGAAATGCTAAGTGTGCGAGGGGCCAAGCATGAGTCTTTTACAAGCTGCAACACCAAACATGAATTGCAATCCTAGTCGTAAGGATGCGAATTCGGAATTATCCATAAAAAGCACAAAACAAACGGAAACTTTTGAGCCAAACTACGATGCTTTGATTCCTTAAAGGGATAAGTAGGAATTTGGTCGTGGAGCCCAGGTGAGTGAAAATTTATAAATATTCCTTCTTTTCCCCGTGTTTTCTTTTTCATGCATTCCCTCTTTGCATTTTTTTGTTAGCTTGTAAGCTTTATATTTGAACACACCCTTTGATTAGAATAACAAGTGTGGATCCTATGGAGTACCACGAACGTAAGGGGTGCTAATACCTTCCCCTTGTGTAATCGACTCTCTTACCTATATCTCTCAGTCATTTGGTCGTGATTTCACCCTTCTCAAATTTAATCGATATTTACCTTTCCCTTCATGTGCGATAAAAAACGTTCGATGGCGACTTCATTGATTTTCTCTCGATGATTGTTTGGTCAATTGTTTCAGTATGGATCTTGTAGCAGTTAGTCTTCAAGTTCCAAAAATATATCTGAGCTAAATTGGTTTAACAGGATAACCAAATACCCTCTTGAGATTTTAACCTGATGGTCTCAAAACCTATCATGGTTTTACCCTGGAAAACCATGAACCTATGGTACGATATTCAAAGCTAGATGATCTTCAACCTATATATAAGAAACAATAGGAATTGATCACACGATCCCCAACCATAAGCTTCTAACATGTTTTTCTTTAAACCATATATATAATTCCTAAATGAATGGTATTTATCCAAGGTGTATGGAGAATAATCCTTGGAGAACTTATACAATGATACTCTTCTAGAATTGTAATGAACATATCACTCACAAATGGAACTTTCCTCACAAAAGCATTTGACTATAAGAACTAATGAGAGAAAGTGAAAAATAAAAATTAGAGAGAGAGAGAGAGAGAGAAAGAGTGAGTGTTATAACACAAATCGTGTTCTAAATGCTTTGAAACAAGAAATGAGGCATGTATTTATAGGCAAGAAGAATGCCAAAAACGAAAGTCGATTCAATGAGTTTGATTATTGTCTAACTGGTTGAAATTTTGATCTAATCAATTAGATATTCAAAATATAGTTTTTACTGCTCATTTAAAAGGAAATAAGATATTGCTAGTCATTGTACTTCATTAAGGTGTTGTCTAAATAACTTGAGGCTTACATTTGAATTGTTATAATCGATTGACATAAAGGTATAATCAATTATTTTAGTAAAATATTTCCCTTTAGCTATTTCAACTTCTCCTAAGTAATTTGACACAACTTTAAGGACACATTTAAAAATATTTTATCTTAGTTAAGGTATTTGAAAAAAGGGTAGAATGTGTGTGTGCTTACAACCATATAATTTTACGAAAAAGCCATTTTGCTTTTATAAAATGTCACTCACTCGCTAAATTAGGAGTCTAACTTCTGCTACAAGCTTTTTTCTAGATATTATCTACTGAGTTGACACTGCTTGAGATCTGCTTGAGGCTTTATATAATTTATCTTGGTTTGACTTCTTCTTTGAATAGTCAAGTTCATCAAACTCTTACAATCTTGGTTTGCATCTTTAACTGCTTAAGTGCTATTTGACTTATTCTTTTATTGTAATCTTATCATGATGAAGTCTTCTTAGTATTTTACTTTGTAGTTGTCATCATCAAAAGAAAACCTATTAACTGTAAAATAAGGTTCCATAAAGATGACCCTGGAAGCCCCGAGCCTAACAAAGCCAACGAGGTGCCTCAGGGTGAAGATAGTAAAGTTTCAAACTACACACTTAACACTATAACATAAGTATTCGTCAGAGACAGGGAAACCATATATGCCCTAAGAAAGAACGCTTTCCAGATCCTGAGTGTAAAAAACCTCCTTGAAGTCAAGACCGAAAGAAAGCACCAAATGCCTGAAACCATAACCGCCATCTCGGAGAAAGATGCAATTGACATCCACCCTCATAATGACGACCCTAGGGTCATTACCTTCAAGTGAAAAGCCTAGGAAAATAGAATAGTTCTCCTTGAACAAGGAAGTTTTACAGACATACTGTACAATGAGGCATTTGAAATACTTTTCCTCGACTCAGAAGATTTGAAGCCTTTTAGAGGATTGTTGGTTAGATTCTCTGTAGAACAGATACATGCAAAGGAATGTATGACGTTGAGGATCACTTTTAGAGAGAAAGATCATACCAAAAGGATAAATATTAGGTATTTGGTTATTGATTCCCCCTATTCATACAATATGATTATTGTTCGACTAACTTTTAATCGGTTGGATGCCATCTTGTCAACTATATATTTATGCATGAAGTACTCGCTCCTCAATAGGAGAGTGGGAGTTATACAAGGAGATAAGTAGATCACCATAAAGTGTTACACAGAAAGCCTTAAGTTAAAGAGGATTCACACTCAAGGAGGGAAGTCCAAGAGGATGAGCTTGGAAATAATGCCACCATGAGAAATCTGCAAAGGTGAGAAGGCTTCCTCTCTAACCTCTTAGGAGATTGAAGGTTGAAGGCCAAAAGGGATGCCCTCTTGAGACACCAACATAGTTGTTGTTTATCTTTCTTTATTACTATTTTATTACATTATTGACAATTGTTATAAGAGAGTATTACATCTTTGGCAATTGTAAAGATAATTCATTTTTGGGGTGCACTCTTTTTCTCTGCACTTTGCATAGGGCAAGGGTTTTTAATGAGAAACCCCGCTTTTATTATTTTAGAGAGTATGTATATTTATCTATTCCTTTCATAGTAGGAAACCTAATAGCTCAATAAAGATCATCTATGGATGCGATCAAAATAGTTGGATCTCCAATTGGGATCCTTGATGCCCATAGAGGTGATCATTTAGCTTGATACTCATGTGGGATCCTTTCTACCCATTGAGGCGATCAAAATATTTGGACCCTCAAGTGGGATCCTTTCCGCCCATAGAGTGATCATTTAGTTGGATCCTCAAGTGGGATTGGGAAAGGGACAAAGAAATATAAAGCCACTACGGGTCGTGAAAACCAAATAATCACACTTCCTTCTAAGGCATCTACTTTTCAACATCACCCTAAGGCTAAGGGTCTCCAAACTCACCGCTCTCCTTCACATCGACATCTCCTTGAGAAATCTCGATAGAGGCAAGGTTCCTAAGCTCCAGATAGGCCACTGCTTCCTCATCCACTAACTTTCCACCACAAACGGATTTGAGAAAGTCCATGGGGCTCAAGTTTATGCTACGATAGTGGAAGAGGACATGTTACTTGGCACCCTCAAAATAGACGCTAGAAGCAGACACCACCTCATCAGTGAGATCCGACACCTCTTTCTCAAAATCCTTTTCACGAAGGAGAGCATCATCTAGAGATTTTTGTAGGTATTCCTTCTCACCAAATATCTCCCTGGCCTTAGATTTTACATACACCATCTTCTCCTCCCATTTTCCTTGCCTTCTGGAGAGACTGCAACAACCTTTGGCTCTCATTATAAGCATCCACGTGCTCCATGAGGTTCTCCTCCAGCTTTTTCTCAGCTTTGTCACACCTTTTTCGGTTGACATCTTGTAACATAATCGCCTTATTAACATCATGTTCACAATAGCCAATTTCAGTTTGAAATGAAGGGCATGGTAATCAACAGAGAACTCCTTGGAGAAAATGAGGAAGACTCATCTATAGGGGGAGCCTGAGTGCTCGCCTTTCCACCAGCGGAAGGAGAACCTTCTTACACCCTTTAAGCCTTCATGTTGAGCGAGTCTAGAGTCAGGTTCTCAACTGGTCTTTTTTGCCCATTGATGTTGAAAACCTCAAGGAAACTCTAGGGATTGTTGGTGCCCAAACTAATAGACTTAAGTTTCTCCCATTTTCGTCTCCTCTCCTAAGTAGAGATCCTCGCCATTTGATCTGAAAAACAATGCACAGAGATTACAAATACTGTCTAAAAGCCTACAAAGGGAAAACAATAAGTGACTCACCTAAGTAGGTGTCAAGATGTTTTCCTCCCCTAACCAAAGTGTAGTCACTTCGTGATAGTCCATAAGGTCGAACTGCCACAAAAAGTATAAAATCCTCTTCTCCCTGGGGGTGAGGGATGCCTGGTCATACCCCATTATCACCAATGGATCTTCCATTCAGGAAAAAGGAAAAAAGGAGGGCGTTGTTACTTCCCAGTGCTCCGAGGGAATCACCTCGCCCCCTCACGCAAACGAACTTGTCCTTATAATATTTGTAGTTATTGGAATGGGGAGTGAAAAGGGCTTCCCCCAGATAACTACTCAAAGACATCCAACCTTCTTTTGTTGTTTTTCTGGTGTAGAAGGAGAAAAAGTCTCCCACTATCGGTGTGTTGACCAAGTCTTGACATACCATATGAAAATCCTTAATGTAACCTCAAATATAAGAGAACATTTGATAGTGTTTGTTGGCAGCAATTTTGGTAAAGCAATGCTTTGGTAATGTTTTGCTTATTGTCTTGACATTTGAAGTAAAACATCTCAACTGTTTTTGAATGATGTCAAAGCAGATTTCTTGACATCTGCCTATTAATCTGAACGTGTTTTCAGATTTTCTCTTTCCTATTTTTAAGCGTGCCTTATTCAGGTTTTATGGTTTATAGCTTGCGAAAAATATGGGGGAATACTTTTCTATCTGTCTTATCTTTATGGATTAGTTCTTGGTCTACTTTTATGGAGATTTTCAAGGGATTCAATATTGCAATATTTGTTTTTCAGCCCAAGCCCATACAGAAGTTGTTGCGCCTTTATAAGGGCTTGCATCCTTATTCGTACAACTGCAACTTTTGAAGAAAAACATACTTTGTGCGTTTTAGAAGTCTAATTCTTTTAATTGTAATACACTCTAGTATTGGTTTAATACATGAGTTGTAATTTGAGTTGTGAACTGTGGATCATTCATAAGCTTTTAAGTATTGAATGATTGAGGTTTTTCAAACTTAATAATTATGTTGTTTTTCACTGTTAGTGATTGAAGGGATTTGAGGAGGGCCTCATACCTAGGCGTGTCTAAATTAGAAGTATAGCACAGGTAGTGATTAAGTGATTAGATCGTAAACTGGTTGTTTACTGAGGGTTTATGAATTGATACTATTTAGTGGACTTGTCCCTGACTTGGTAGCCCCCAGAGTAGGTGTTGTTGTACACCAAACTGGGTTAACAATCCCTTGTGTTTTTACTGCTTTTAATATTATTGAATTTTATATTGTCCTCAGATATTGGTCTCGTGACATCTCCTTCGACATCACATATCTGATACCAGAATTTCAACAACTGAGAGGGCACCATATTAAGGAATTTTAAGATATCCATAGAAAAGGGGTAAAGAGGGAAAATAACCCATATATCTTTGAATAAAGGGAGATAGAAGTAGAAATATAGAGAAGGAGGATCAGTGGAGACAAGTGTGGTTACCCTCTTTGACGGAAAGCAAGCCTCCAGAATGACTCAGTCTTCATCCTCTAAAGAAGAAACGTTCACTCCCGATCGAAAAAGAAGGATATTTTCATCATAAGTATAACTAGATTCAAGATCCCTGACATCCTTGTACACGACATAGGAGGCACTACAAAAATAGTGTCTGGATAGAGGTTTCTTTTATCCAAATTATGAGGGGTTTTAACCTTCGGAAATTGTTTCCTTGGAGTTATAAAAAATCCCGCTTATTTAATTCCCACAATATATCTACGGCAGTTTCTAGTGACCGCTGATATCTAGCCAAATAAATCGGGGTGGTGCAGTTATGGAGGTTATAAACCCCCGCATGTTATGAAAAAATATAAAAATAAATAAATAAATAAACTTGAGCTTATTTTATAAGATATATTTTAGAATATCTATACAAACATGCTAAATTCCAATGTTAGAATAAACATTAGAGATTACAAATCTACCAAAATATAAACATTATTTCCTAACACTCCCAAACTTCGACTAAGTTAATCAATTACAGAAACAATAAAAATAAAGATTGGTTCGTGGCTATTATACATACTAGCCAAACAGTACATGGAGAGACTAAGTATAGCAAGAAAAAATGACACATCCCTAACTCATTTATGAAAACACTATAATTTTACAATTTATTACTACATCAAAGCACATCAAAAAATGAACTGCAAGATCAAGGAATTCACTCTAAGTTGAGGGACTCAACCCTTTTAGTAAAAGAACACCATCAACACATGGACTAATTTGTAGGGTGAGGGGCGCACCTCGAATGAAAATGGTGTTAAAAACACACAGTCCTTAGTAAAGCCCTCATACTTGAGGGACTATGTATTGTTATATTTGTGAGCAGCCTAAGCTAGGAAGCCCTCACCTAAGAGTTGTATCTCATAGGTGATGACCTAAGGACTTTCCCCTGGAACTAGTGACGTGTGTAAAGCCATTAGGAAAGGGAGAGGAAGTCCACCATTACTCCCGAAAGGTTAAGTGGTCAATAACTTCTCAGGGTTACCGTAACCCTAGACCCAAAAGGCATCTATAAATACTATTCCCTCGTGGGAGAAATGATAGATCATAACTCATATCGATCGCACTCCCGTGCGTTTATACCTAACATATCATTCATCCTCAGTGCCTCTCACGTCACATGAGCAAGACTCCTAAAACCACCGTAATATACTACTCTACAAGACTTCTCGCCATCGTGGACAATCCGTAACTACTATAAATCATAATATACCAACTAAGGTCTTTTAGTCCCCATATCATTACAGGAAGAACACACATGTACTTTTTGACCAGTACAAAAGTGAAATTATTACTTACTCTGTATATTTTAATTTAGTTGATTTGTGTATTTGAAAGTTCGTAAATTTTTTTATTTTTGTAGATTCTACTATTGTGACCATTTTAAATTAAAATACATTATTCATTTATCAGATATATTTCCATTTGATTAAAAATATTGAAGTATGTGAAATTATTACTTACATTTTAATTTACATGGTTTATTAATATACAAATTCGGTAACTTTTTTCATTTTTACAAAACCTACAGTTATAACCATTTAAAATAAATTCTACTAATGTGATAATATTCTAATAATTATATAAAATATAAAACATTACTAAAAATATTGTTTTTTTTATTAAATTATAAAATATTGAGTATAAAAGGCAAAAATCCAGTAGTGTGTTCTTTACATTGAATTAGTAAATCTTAAGCGTTTATTAAATATGATGATTAATATTGATAGATCTCATTTTTCACAATAAATATGAGTTTTCACCAACCGAATTAAAATATAGTTAATAATTTCATATTCTTCAATATTTTTAATCAAATTAAAATAAGGGTGTTAAATCAATAATATGTTTTAGTTTAAAATAGTCACTATAGTAGAACTTTAAAAAAAAAAAACTTACAAATAGATAAATCAACCAAATTAAACTATAAATAATAATTTAAATTTCTTATAAATTTTCAAATAGATAAAAATATGTGTAATAAATAAATAATATAACCTTTTGAAAATGGTCACAATAGTAGAACATTAAAAATAATAAAATTTAAACTCACGATTAATAAATCAATAAAATTAAAAGATAAGAAATAATTTTACATTCTCCAATAGTTTTAACTAAATTAAAATATAGGTGATAAAAATAATGTGCTTTATTATATTTATGCAATTTATAAAATTATACAAATTTTAAAGTATAAATTAAACATATGTTTACACTATTACTCAAATTTAAATAACGAATAAAAATACATCAATTATAAAGTATAAAATAAATATATTATAAGTAAAATTAATTTTTATAACAAATAAAAATAAATAGCCTAGGAGTCATAATAATAGTTAGAGTAGAAAAATATTATGATAATATTTAAACATTAAACATTATATTTTCAAAAAATAATTACTATTTTAATAATATTCTTAAAATTATAGCAAATAGAATATTTTTGGAAAGATTTTATTTTTATGGAATTTTTAAATACTGAGCATACTACACACACATTCAATAATATGTTCTTTATTTAAAATTAATAAATCTTAAGTACTAATTAAATCTGACTGCAAATATCAATAGTTCTTATTTCACACGATAGATATTCCTAAACGACTATGATATATATAATAATAAAAGAAATATTTTTTTAATATATAATTCTAATGTTCTCTTTCCAAAATTCCAAAAAAATTATTTTGGATAAATTATCGACTATACTTATAATAATAGTAGTATATTGTTTTATTTTATTTTATTTGAAATTTAATAAAAATTACTACTCACTGACAACTTAACATATTTTAATTAAAAAGATATTTTAAAAGGGTATAATTATCTTAACAAATGGAATAAACATATTTAAATAATTATTAAAACTACTTTGATCCTCTTATCTAGATATTTTATTTAATTTTGAATTAGTTTTAAATATTCTTTATTAAAATTGTGTACTATTATAAATTTTGTCTTAAATAGTTTTGGTCTATATAATTTCGCGTGTTTTTATTTGTAGTATTTAAATTTTTTTTAAAAATAATTTATGAATGTTAAATTTTTTTTGTTTTAGTCCTTAAAATTAA